TGATTACATACACCTCTCTCTGTCAATTTAGAAATGAAATGTAGATTACTAATCGGTCGATAATTTTCTAAAATCGGGTCGAGGTTATCTCTCTTCAACAAGGGACGGACCGAACCGTATGACTTGTATATTGATTAGTTTTCGTCATATACATATCCCCTTTGTCCTTTAAATGTACTGTTGTGCTATATATACAGATTGCTTTCGTACTTTATGTATTAGCTTCGTCCTACTTCTTTCGTCCTTTGTAATTGTTGCGTTTTAGATTTAATCCAGTTTCGTTCTATATTTTATTAGTTTGTCGTCATATTATTTTCGTTTGATTTTTGGTACTAATAAGGTCATAAAAGGCGCCGCATATTTAGGGTGTTTTAGACTTAAAATCAAGTCCGTAGTCAGCCGGGTGTAGCTCCGGCAGGCAAAATACATTGAACTTTCGTTGAAGCAACATCATTCACCAACATTAAACTAAATGTATAAGGTTGAATAGAGATTGTATTTGAAAGGTTTTCCGCTATTAAAAAATGATATCGAATATTCAACGTGACAATGACAACATTGAATCAACATAGCCGTTTTACCTTTTCGTTTTCACTTTTTTTTTGGGGGGGGTGATTCAGTGTTGAATTATGATTATATTTGAAAGTTTTTCTGACTAGTCCACAAGTGCCACCGCGCAGCGTATACCGTTTATGTGGAGTGTGCCGGATTCTCAGACCTAATTGGGTATGGCGTGCAAAGTTAACATTTAATCCTTGTATACAGATATCTCTATTCGTAATAGAGATATCTGTTTTAATAAGAGAGATATCTCTATTATGATTCTTGTCCCGCACACCGGGTCAACGGAAAGGTCATTGTAACGTAACGCACAAAGTTTCACTGAGCCAGATGGTTGAGTCAAGTTTCCTAATGTAAACAACCGCGGGAGATCAAGTACTGAGACACGATAATAACCCTCGTCCATTTGGGGGTTTGTTGGGGTGTTTGTTTGTTTGTTTATTTGTTCCAGGGATTTTTCCTCATTTAGTATGGGAAAAATCAGTTACAAAGGGACAGCACCTCCTCCCCAAAAATCCTGTCCGTATTTGGACTTTGAGATTCTTATTTGGACTTCGAGTCTTGCGTATTTATGCTAGTTTTACCTATTTTGTCTCATGCACAAAGCATGAAAATATGCTTCGATAAAAAGCAGGATTCTCGTTCTTTCAGAACTTCACCTATTTTAATCCTTTAAAATATGCATATAATATGCATATATCTTAACACTAAATGGGACTTCCAGTTTTCCATCGATGGGAAGTTCTTGTCATAACCAGAAAATAGCCAATGTTGTCAGCGATGGCATATGTATGGAGTTGGAAAATTAATGGTTTGTTCGATCTATATTACTTCTTGAAGGGATTTGTGATTCACGAGAGGAATGGACAGGTATATCTCTTTCCTCCAGTATTCACAGCTGGCTGCAGGAAGCGGACTGCATTTGCTTTTCTAAAGTGGCAGAGCGGCGCACCGACATCAGATTCAAACGCCTTGAATAAATTGCCGTATAATCCACTGCTTTGTCGGCAGCTGCTTTCGACTTTTGTCCCGCTTTTAGCATCTCTCCCTGTACGTTCCAACTCTCTTCAAAACAAATTCAACAAAAATCCTAATTGCGACCTTAAAAACGAAAACCTATTCTTCACTGTTGCAAGTGTATCTTTCCTTTTCTCAACAGGATTACCTGCAATCCACTTTTCATACATTACCGCGTCTCTTTCACAGGGTCCGCGCAAAAAGCAACAAAAACGTTGGTGTCTGACTTTTTTGCAGAAATTAATTCCCCTCGCGTGGTTTTTCTAGAGTCGGCAAATGAGCCCTATTTGGTAGGATAAAGACATGAAGGAGTGGATCATCCCCGTCGCTAAGTTCGGACGCGCCATCAACTCACACTGTTTTCCAGTCTGGTGCACTTTCATTGTGGCGCGGAGAGTTCAACACGCCTCGCTGCGTTAATTCAGTTAAATTGAAATGACATATCTGGCCAGCTGGTCTCCACAACGTAACAAGGGCGGATCCAGAACCTATTTTTTTTGGGGGGGGGTGAACATGAGGGTTTTTGCGGGGAGTCAAAATTTTGAATTTTTTCATGTTACCTTTTATGGCTTTTTAGATGTAAGGGTGCATTTGGGGATATTCTGCGCGCTTTTTGAAGGAATGGAAATAAAATAGACGAAAACAATCGCAATCACAATTTTCCCCATAACAATGAGTAGTTCCTTTTTCCACACACACCCCTACGGAGGCTCTGTTTTGGGGACCAACGGGGGCCAGGACCCCTCACCCCCCCAAAGAGCTCCAGGATGCGTCCATGCAGCGTGCCAGTTGTCAAGATTTAGTGCGGTTATTCATCCTAATCCCTATAGGGTGTATGTAAAATCTTCTTGAAATCTGAGGATTGAGGACTGTTAGGTTAATGTCCTGTATCTTTTAACATGGAGGACGCTAGATTTTGTAAAAATATGCAAGTTCACACTAATCACATAACCTAAAGTGAATGCCAACGAGCAAATCTGCCAGCCGCAACCGGGTGAAGAGGGAAACTTGAAAAAGACACGAAAAGGCACGCATAATTTTTTGTAGAAGACTAAAATTTCGAAAGGGGATAATATCGGAAGTAACTACCAGAAGCTGCAAGTATTGTTGTAAGAGCTAGCTTGTAATCTTCTTCTCAACAAGTTTCCTCCTCATGATGGAAGCACTGGCTGGCCTCCATTCACAGACCTGTATCTCAGTGTCCATATATGTACCATTTAAAACAACCAAAGATTGTAGAGAGTTTCCCTCCGTTGGAAACAGGCCATGTCTAAATTATTCGTGTTAAAGAGGGAGATTCATTTAGTAGTTAATAAAGTATTTGTTACCGTGTGTATTCTGATAGCTGCTTAATTAAGACTTAATACTAGTACTTTTCACTTGTAATAAACACTTTTAACTAGGGGCCAGCGATAGTTGTAGGCAAGGACTATACCTCTGGCTTACAACGAGACAGTTTTGCGTGCTCTTGACGCGGTTTCCTGCATTATGTAACTCTTACTCTTCCACCATTATGCACTGCAGGGGCTTCTTGAGCTCTCGTGCTCGGATGGTCTTTATCGGAGTCAAGCTTGTGACTCAAGGACGGCGTTGCGTTCATGTGGTGGGGGTAGTGTCCGATCGGCGCTAGCGCTCAAAACACAACGGGGATCCATTTCACTATTTACCGAGCCTTTCTTTGGCCTAATGAAAATTAATCGAAAAACCATTGTTGCCTGGAGTCGGTGGTCATTAGTCAGGGATTAGACCGAAGCTGATACCCTGGAGGGTCGATCTGTATTAATGATAGACTCCTCGGGAGACTCGAATGGAGAAGCTGATGGTTATTGTACGGACGACACATGAGCCGGGAAATGTTTGGTGAAGTGTGAGCCAAACAAGAAGAGCCCAAAGCTGGCTCATAAATCATGCAGTGAAGGTATTTATTCACTCTTCAACTCTGCAGCAGCGTAATTCCATTCATTATTAGTGCCAACAATATTTGGATAAAAATGTGTATTGGCAGATCAATCAAATTGTTTCCTTAATTAGTGTCTGTGTTTTAAGCTTACCAAATAAGGACAATACGCCCTTCAAACAGAAGTAAAATAGAAAAGAAATTACTCAGTAACCTTACAGTTAAAATTGATAAACGCTGTAAACAAATGTCTAAATGTGTATAGAACGAATCGCAAACATTGTTTTGTCCGAGCGGTTATCATGCATTCCTTTGAAACTAGTAATATGAAGAATCAGATTACGTATTCTAACCAGAAAGAATGAGAACCTGCTGTAATTTCCTCACAAGAAATAATTATTTGGCATGTACTCTGAAAAGGATTGTATAAATTTGGCAGTCCCAGAACCTCATAAAATCACATTTGGATTTTGGCCAATTTTTTACGAGGTTCAGATTATGTCCCGGAGAGTCGCCATGTTAATTCATGGATTTTTGTTTATCTCATGTAAAACTCTATCCGAAGGTGAGGATTTCGATTTTCTTATAGACTGTTGGTTATACTTCAGCCGAAACACTGATATGTTACACATACATGTATTTTTCAAGAGTACCTGACCTCTGTCGTTTTTCGATCAACTCTATCTCCCACTACTCAAGCATCTTCCCACAAGCTCTAAACCAACGGACCACCCTCTCCCAACGGACACACCCTCTTCGTGGGTAGGCAATTTACCTTGTGTAAAGCGCAATGCTACTTATGGGGCATGTTGAAATCGATAAGGGTTGGGTTTTGAAATCCTGATAAATTGACACGGCGATAATGCACACCTGTCCAGGACACGTCGAGCTCAAAAAAAATCAAGCCACAATCCAAACGATCGCGGGGCCTTTTATACTTGTAATTGGATTGCATTATCGTGAACATTTGTCAATGCCTCCCACTAAAAATTCTGCACGTTCGATGCTGTAGCTGATTTCAGAGACCACGATTGTGGTTAGCATCAACACAAATCATCATAAATTGCTTAGTTGTCTAGATATTTCCCTGCGATTCCTTGATAGGGACATGGTGAATTACAGTGACATTCCCCACACAATCCAGGTTATAAGGCAAACGTACACCCTCTACATTCGAATTAAAACCCGTTTGATGGGTGACGTTTGTTCCTTCCGGATCCAAACTCCACAAGGACTCGGTATATTACAGGCAGAGGACCCAGTAGGAATAACATTACCAAACTGAATCAAAAATAGGCCTACGCAAACTATAATTCTATGTAGACATAAACCAATGCCGACAACACGCCTCAGGGTCACAGACAACCAGACAGGACAAGAATTAAGATTTTAAGCAGAATCCAGTAGGCCTAATACCTCAGATAGTTTACCCATTCCTGTCGGTCAAGTGCCCGTCACATAGTTTTTCAACAGATAATAAAACTACCAACTTCGTTTTCATGTGAAATTTAAATTGGACTGATGTCTTTGGCTGCTACAAAGGCTGCATCCAAATCTGTTGTCTAGAGCTAGGTCTTCGCTCCATTGAAAATGTGTGGAGACGCGTGGACAATAGACCTAGCCGTAACTCTGGAAGCCCGTTTCGTATACGGCGTAAGTCTCTTCCGTGAAAACACTGACCTGCTAATTGTCGGATAGGCATGTGCAAAAATAAAAACAAACAAAAAACAAATGCCTGTGCCCTAAATATAAATGCATGGCAGAATGCGCCGGTGCCGGGGTAAAGTGAGATTTCGGAGATACAAAATATTATAGCTCATTGGTTTTATTGTACATTTAATTTGATTTAAATTGCGTTGGTTTCTTACTACACGTTCCTTAAGTAGTTATACATTGAACACCAAAACTTCTGATAAAAACACATGTGTAGGATATACTTCACACAGTTACTGTTTGACATATACTCAGAAGAGAGAGCAAAACGAGAGTACAACCGGTAAAGTCTTCGAATTTGCTCTAAAAAATTATCCTGAGGGTTTTTCTCTCCGAGATGACTTAAGTAATTTACGCCTGCCATCAACCCAACGCACAAAAATTGAGTCTATCTTCACAACTCCAAATCGACATTCTCTTCTGGATTAGTTTCTGTAAAGTGCAAAAATTGTGCATCGATTTATCTTCAAATCGTATCAGCCAAAGACACATTCTCGCCCCTTTCCATACATGTATTTACTTCGTGTTGGCGAGCTTTTAAACGAAGGGAAGCGATGCTAAACGAGAGTCTGTCCGGCTGCATCTCCGCTGCGTGTTTGGGAACCAAGCAGTTCCGAATGTCTGAATGCGTCGCCAGTCTCTCTGCAGACTTCACCCGCGGTATCACGGGAACAGCAGGGCACCACACAGATGGACGAGGGGGGTGAACACCGAACGGTAAAACACCTGCCCGGCTGGACGCGAGACCAGGGTGAAGGAACGGATAGTGCACCTGCTTAGGAAGGCCGGCGAGTAAGGCTGCAGCAGCCATACCGGGACTCTCTGTTGGTGTTTGAAAGGCGTTAACAGGGAAATATAGGTGAGGCTGAAGGAAGAGATGCGGAGTGGGAGACGGGACGGCGTGTTCTGCGGGATATCCGCAGATGGGAGGAGCCTGACGCACACCTTGCTTCTCTCGTTTTCGCCACTTGGCCCTTCGGTTCTGAAACCAAACCTGAAATCAAATGACAAAACAGCACTGCGTTTGTAACTAAAAGGTGTTCACATTTAAGGATTGGGAATACATGGATGGTACACTACGTATACCTGTGCACTGGATGATCTGGTCGCCCTTTAAAATAGAGAAAAGAAGAAAACGTCCCCAAAGAATAAAACAGATGTAAGCTGATAAACATCCCAGGTAACTTTGAGAAATGTGCAAGCGTACTGCACGCGTCCTGGACTGTTGACCGAAATTCAGCCTCCTCCACGGTGATTTTGAAGGGAAGAGGCTGGATGATCTCAAAGCCATTCCGATATGAAGGATGCACTTTCTAAGACATCAATGGATCAAAGTGCTCAGAGAATTGCAGTCCGAAAACCCTAAATCTCGTTTCTCATCACAATAATCGTGCCTATGATGTAACCAGTTTAGACGCTATAACTGTGGCGGCATCGCTCGGGTATTTGGCAAATCACAACACCCTATTGGTCAAAGAGGCATGTAACGCGCGCGTACCACCTGTCCACGAGGGTTAAATGCTATATAATTCTGGTTGTCGAATCATACACTATACCTGGACACGTGCCTCTGTCAGGTCGACTCGCATCGCCAAATCCTCCCTGTGTGTAGAGAGGACAAAACTAATTACAGTTGAAAAGTTGGTTCACTTTTCTTTTGATAGTTGAATTCTGTCACCCGCCATTCTCATGTGCAAGATATGCGGTAAAGGGGGACCTCCTCTATAGTGTCTTCTTTTATGTTGTTGGAATCTTTGAAATTCCTTTCAGATTTCTGAGGGGGGGTGCAGTAGGCACAATAGCCTTAGGGTATTCAGCTTTACCGCATATCGTACAGGGTATCGCCATTCTAATAGGACATACACAAGACGCATAGTACTATGTTAAATATGTTTCAATACTGACATTTCGGAGCTCCTCGCGCAACCTAAAAAGTAACTTTTAAAAAGTGAGCAACGTGGCAATGTGCATAAAATGTGAAAATAGTGTAAGAAAAAATAATGTAACACATCATCTTGCGACGAAATGGACAGTGGTATGATGGTCAAAATTCAACAAAAAGGAGCAATTTGGGTGCATTTGTTTGGTCCAAATCCGTGTAAAGATTACTATAAAGCTTAATCATTAAAAAAAAAGCCTTTTACCGTACGATTGATGGGTTCAAACACCACAATGTTTGTTGATCATAGTTTGTCCATTCCCCACATAAAACCTCTACTGACCTGTTTAAAATTCCTGCAGATTATAAACATAGCGGGAAAGTGAGACAGAATCACAATAATCGAATGAATCTCAGAAAATGTATGCAATTTAGGGTTGGGAGCTATGACATCTCTTTGACAAAGGTCTTCTATTTGTAGCAACTTTTCCACGCTATTATACGACCGTCCACATAAAAATACTGTCTGCTGCAAACAGACTGATTGGTCGGTAAGCTTGAGCCGCATACAGCTTCCACCGTGATCTTCAAACAAAAAATCATGTAATTACGTCTGCCGAGAATGACGAATTTTGGAGCAGATTGAATGCTTTTCTTCGTTGATTTAGTTAATCCCAGTATTTCTACCACGAGCCACGTCGGATTCTATTTAGGACGCACGAGCACTAGCGGGCCGAGGACAGTGATCCTGTGGTCGACAAAGCACGGATTTATCCGGCCAATCTTAGTACTCTGAGCCGCTGATCTCTTCCGTGTAACGGGCCTTACAAGAAGCCCCATCTTTGATTTGTCTGTGATGGAGGAAAAGCCCGTATACTTATGAGGTATCCCATTCCATCTGTCTCAAGGACGACTTTAATTGAAAATTATCTCCACCCTTAGGTTTTTGACATTTGGAACCCTTCTTCGAAGCGGGATAAACTAAACCTTAATGTGGGCAGCACAGATTTAGACTGGGTGTGCCTTAGAGAGGTTTTAAATGAATTTGTAACCAACACGTGGGGATCTGTGTCAATTGCAGCAGTAAAAAAGAATCTCATCGTACGAATGCATGAAAACACATCCAATGCAATTCAGGCATTTGCTAAAGATGCAGAGCCTGAAAAACATAACTTTCATTAGAAGGATCCAGTTTAGGATTCTATGTACATGCGGGATTAAGGTTGGCTTTTCTTCGTTTGTTTCCGTCCCCGTATACTGACTTCAATTTACGGTTGTCTTCAACCTAACGTGCCTACTTCAATATACGCCTATTTATGGTTTATGAGAGCCCCTGTTATGTTCCACAGTCATTACTGTTGTTCTCAGGATAGTACCACGAAGATGGACCAACAAAGTGTTCCGATTTGGCCGAAGTCATATTTTGTGAAGAAAGTAACATTTTCCAAGATTAATTTGTCAGAATTCTGCTGGCTTTCGGTAATGATGACTGTGATGACAGAGGAATGTTGTTCACTACAACGAACGCAACGTCAACTGGAAATTAATGCCTAACAATCTTGCTCCATGTTTCGATGGCGACTAATAATCGAAGGGCAGATCCGTGGGGGGGGGGGTAACAGGGGCCACGGGGCCAAAGGACCCCCCCATCTGTTGAAAACTAGTGACAGAAAGGCGATTTTCTCGTCTCATTAACCTTATTTCAAAACGCCTGTAAAAAGCACCAAAATGTAGCCTTAAAACTCAGCAAGCTCATAAAGGTTGCACAAGAACTTGCCAAAATGCCCCCTTCTCCGAAAAAAATTTGCCCCGTAAACGTGGTACTGGATTCGCCCTGTAACATTTTAAATGTAATGAAATACATAACCCTATTTTATACGAAAAAAGGCTTAGCAGTTTAGGCCTCGGCCAACTGACCTCGTAAAGACATCTGGGTAATGCGTCTTGCAGAAGGCGCGTTCCAACTCCTTCAATTGGTCAGCATTGAACGTGGTTCTGTACCGCCGTTGCTTTCGTTTGGCCGTGATCAACCGGGCTCTGGCTATGCAACCATCAACAAAAGTCTCTCTGTCTGATGTTCCAACGGATACCTGATAGCCTTTTCCTTGCTCGGTATTCATGTCATCTGGAGGGGCTCGGGAATTCACCATAGATCCATCTAAGTAGGTTTGAGAGGCTGAAATCATGGCCGAACCGAATAAAGCAAATTTTGAATTTTCACCTAGCCTGCCCATTTCACCTTTGTCAGCTATGGGGGAACCATTCGTTCTCACATTTTCGCCGCAATTTTGCTTTCCGTCTGCCAAAACCTCTTCGTCAACCTTGTTACCGTCCCTTCCTGTCTGGCCAGTAAGTCTCAAGTTGGGTATCTCCATTTGCCTTCAAACATCAGTGGAAACTATGAAAAAAATGACAGCATATCTCTACAGTATTGAAACAATCCGAATGATGTGAAGGATGCACTGTAGTCACACTCAGGATCTTAATTCACGCAGTTTCCCTATGTAGTTGAAAGATCTTCCCTGACCACTTTTACTTCTGGTGTGCAGGTCGAGTCTGATCTCGACACATTAATTTCAAACTAACCTTCCAGCTAATCGGATTTTGTATTGTTTCCAGTCCCGCAGACGTCTGATCACATTTGTGACCCGTGTACTTATTCTGAAGATCGACAACAGAACTGTTCCAGTCTTACCCCCGGGAGAATATCCTAGGCCGTTGTGTCTAAGACTCCTTGTTTCACGTCATGCGCGTAATGGGATTTTACCGGCCTCTGGTAATCCCCGATTGAAAGCTTTGCAGCAGACTCTCTAGAGGACGCAAAACCTTACGGAACACGTTGATGTTACACTGATCCACAGGGTACAAGACTTGATGCCGCTTAGAATAGCTTCGGACAGAAGTCTGCCTGTTTGTTAAACCGAATGAGGGATTGGGCATCGGTGGACTACTTCGAGAAGCATTATTAGGCGGGGTCGGTGAACCATGTGCTGTTAGTGGCTAAATTGATCATCAGTCAAGATTCAATTCTAACCTCCCCCAAACAAACTTTGAAAATTTTGCACATGACGAAACATGCAAACGAATGGAGCTATAGCTAACAGCCAGCCAAAGGTTTCGCCCCCGCGACAATCTGCATTCTTGGGGGAATTGGACCGTTGATATACATGTACATATACTGTACATGTACGTGAGCTTTGCCCCTCACAAAATATTGTGGTGTATAGGAAAACCTTGCTTAGATTAGGCGGGGACAGCGAAAGCTTGTGGGCTTTTATATCTTTGCCTGATTTGCTCTTCTTTAATTGTTAAGCAGGTAATTTTTAAAAAAATATTTTCTCTGATATGGACCTGCATTGTCACCAAGATCACATCATGGTTGCAGCTCTTGCTGAAGAAAATGCGCCACCAACAGCTAGTAGGTTGGCACAGCACACATTGTGTTGTGCAAATTCCAGTACAACACTACTCCTTACAACCCGGTATTGATCCTAAATTGAGTTATGTCTTATTTCAGCAGCGGATGATCACCCATTGATGTATCTTTTATCTCTTAAATTACACTGTAATTGTTCAATTATGCTTGAGGAATCAGTCAAAGACCCCGCCTAGGAGACGTGTTATGACAACAAACAAAATCACCAGAGAAGGCATTGTATTGTCCCGGATTCAGTTTACTGTAGTTAATTGGTTCTCGTCGTTGTTCTTTTTGGTAACGTCGCAGTTTAACTCAGCCACAGGCCTTTCTTTGCACAGCCACCTATAGATGGAGCACATCAGCTCCGAATTGCCACATCGAATGACATTCTTTTTCACCATCCGCATATGTGTTCTTTTCTATGCAAAGTTCACTTTAAGCTCAAGTATTAAAGAACCATTTTGCAAGTAGTTGTAGAGTCACTTCCCTCATGGGGATGTGTGGACTGTGTTCTATGGACAGTGACATATATTATGCGATGACTCGAGTTAGAATTATCCCTCCGCCTAACGTTTTTTGGCGATGAGCAAAATATTAAGGCAGATTGTGAAAGATGTTTCAGACTTCCAAAAACTAAGGCCTTCGCCAAACATCGTGCTTCTGCCGTGTCGAACTTCAATATTTGAAAATTTTCAATTGATGGCGGCAGAAGCGCGACGTTTGACACAAAAACGACTAGTCGTGTCGTGCGACGCGTCGCCCGTCACGTCGTGCTGTCTTACGTCCTTTCCATGTTACATATTTTTCTGCCCAAAAGTCGCTCCTTCTTTTGCCGGTCGCGTTGCATCGTCGTAAGTCGCGTCGTGTGTCGTGTCACGCGTTGCGTATAACGTCGCGTGAAGCACGACGCGACGAACGACACAGCCCAGACGTCGTAGGCATAACTATGCATTGCTCTTCCGGGAAGATAGGCCAATCTTTATTAGCGAGCTTAATTGGCTGAGATAACCCACCTGACAATCGTATCCTTGGAGGCCAGGTGGTGAGGCCGAGTAGTGGTGATCAGTAGCCGAGAAGCGGATCCCATTATGTCCTCCATCCTTTCCATACACCACTTCGGCGTCTGGATGGGATGTGTGAGTTTGAGTGAGGAGGCTGAGTGTAACTGGATTGCAGGAACAGAAATGTCAGAGGGCTGGAAGAAAGGCGTCTGATTTTTCGTGAAAAACCCTATCGCTGGAATGAAGCGTACACCAAGTGGTTCCTATCTAATGTGACCACCAGCTATAGAGAGAGCCTTGATTTCATAGCTACTCCGTGATGTAACACAGCTAGGGGGAACGTCAACTTCACACTTGAGTGAAGGAGAGGGGCCCGCCCCCCAGGTTCGAATTGGGGCCAGCTAGAAGACGCAGAACGTCACTGGTAAGTGCCAGGACGAGATGAGTTTCTTAGATGGAGGTTGTTCTATGAACATTCCCCTGAGAAGGGGATGGATCGCCGAATCGTCGGGGATGGTGAATCAGTCGGGAAAGCCTCGGTGGATAGCCACCATAGCCAAACGGTACTTTCTGGTCGTGGACACCAGGAGGCCTAAGTTAAAAAGTGTCGTAAAAAATGTCGTATTCGGCTATTGTAGATCTTTCTCGTGGACGATCGAAGGCCTCTGGCGGCCATGGCGGCAAAGTATTGAGAAAGGCCTGCCTCTTGGAACGATCTTTGGACAATGTCCATCAGGTTAGGTGCAGGTGAGACGGGTCCGGATTTAGGATATTGGACCTGGGTTGGAAGATGATGTTCGGACGAAGTGGCAGGATCAGGGGAATGTTGACCAGTAGTGTGATGACGCAGGAAACCACGTCTGCCTTAGCCAGAAGGGATGATGAGGAGGATGCGGCAGTTGTCCTGTTCTATGTTGCACAACACCATGGGGATGAGCGACATGGGCGGAAATGCGTACGAAGCTAGGCGTTCAGGAGGAACGCAAAGAGATCCACGTGAGGTCTGTCCACTAGGCGGGACGGACCGTGCCAATCAGCCAATCGTCAAGGTGCTGGGAAAAAAACGAAAGGCCAGAGCGGCGAAGTTGGGAGAGACGTCAGTCCTCCTCGCATGTCCGAGCTAGGAACTCAGTCAGAAGCAGCATGAAGGCCGTGCATTTGATGCCTGTTCGAGCCGCAAGGTCCGTATCCAAGTGTGGACTCCATCTGGTTCTTGGCTTTCTGAGAAAAGATGTCTATTTAGGAGGCCTTGCATTCTGTCCATCGTTATCTTGTCCTTTGCTGCCTCACGAATGGCAGGCACAGAGTGGTAGATTTCGAAGTCGCTCGAATGAAAATGGAAGTAACTACTGCACTGGAGCGGGCGCCGAAGGGACGCCAGCGTTCCGTCTTAGCCAGTCTATCCATGGCGTCAACGCAAGTGGAAGCTCCGGAAAGACGGACGTCGAAGCGTCGATCCCTAGCGGGTGCCGCTTGAACGAGGAACGATCTTGGGTGACGATCTTGGTAATGACGCTAAGAAAAAGAGGAACAAGGTGGCCGTTCCGTTAGGCTTTGTGGGAGATGAGGGCGCACCACTGGTTGATCAAGAATTTAGCAAATGGCGTAATGGTCGAGGGAAATAATAGTATTGGTAATCTGGGTAGGTTGAAGGCAGTAGACTCCTGATTTTACGCAAGTAGGAATTTAGAATTCTTACAGTTACCTACATTTAGTTCATCTACAAACTATTTTCAGTGAAATATTTCACCTGACATTACACAACTCTACAAGCTATTGCTGTTTAGGCAGAGTGATGTAAGATATTTGTAGTATTAAAGTACCGCGTCTAAACTTGATTGAATGGACAGTAAAATACTTTATATGCAGCAAAGTTGTAAAATGGTAGATACTAACAAGGTTGTTCGCTCAAACACGGCGCTGGGACTGGGGCTGATGGCTTGGCACTGTGATTGGCTACATCGTGCACGACCTGTGACCGCGGAGGTTATCACTTCCTGTTAGCGAAGAGTAATTTGAGTTATTTGGTTCGCCATAGAGCCTGAAAGTTGACCCCTGATAGCGCGCTTCCGGAACCCTTGGATAGGAAAATTAACGTGCAAAGATTTTAGAATTTGTAATATTTTTTCGTTCAATTATTTCTTACAAATCCAACTCGGAAAAGGGGCTTTAGAAAATATTTGCTAGTATATCAATTTATAGAAACTGAAAAATCGCCTGACCTAAAGAAAGAGAAATATCCTGCCAAAAATTGACCCATCACTTCTAAAAATCTAAAATACATGTACACGAAGAACAATGAAATGCGCCAGTCTCGACACAGTTGAATATTTACGGTCAGAAAGTTTACGGTAGTCCGTCGGTAAAAACCGAAATAAAAACAGATCGAAATATTTTAAGTAGTCTTATAATTTATAAGTAGTAAACCTAAAGAAATATTCTACTTCAATTACGAAAGATTCTAATCGTTTATCTAACCTTTGCTGACAACAACTGCGTAATATCAACTCAACGGAATCTGGAACCCATCAACTGCAAGTAGGAAAATCTCTGCAACGTTGTACAATCTCGTTTTCACGTAAGCATGGGTAGTGAAAACGAACGTGCATGAACATGGAGACCTAGGTACGATATCACCGGAAGTGAAAGGTCGTGTGGTAATTTATCTTCTTAATCTCACTGATAACATGTCTTTTGGCGCTATATTTCAAATCATTGGTTATCTTCATTAATTTTGGATGAACCAATCAAGTGTAGTGAGAATATTGTCAGCAGTGCGGAAGAAAACAAAAAATGTGGAAAATAGCCGCCATTTGTGTAACGCATTCATTGGGCAAGCTCGCGCACCCGGCAGAAATTTCTCTGTACGTTCGCTGTGACCCTGTGCGACGCATTTCCTTCACTAAAATCTCTGCAAGGCCATCAGCCGTTCCAAGCGCCCTGTTTAATTGGGCGTTGGGCGACGAGCGAAACGTGGTGGATACACATGTATAGGGAAAGGTCTTTGTTGTTGGTCTATGATGAGACGGGCTTTTGGTGCATCTTGCACCTGACACAAAACACCACTACATTCAAACGAGGAACCAGCGTTGTTTCAGTCAGAATTATTATTCGCCGATAATTTTTACAAGAGTGTTCGCAGTTCATGCAATGCCTGAAGTGCTTCCCGAAATTAAGACGGCCGTCTAGGCGAAAATCGATATCAATCTGCCAAAAGTGCTGAGTCACAATCATAATGTTTAGGTAGACGTTTTGTTACAGGGGCGCCGTTACCAACAGTATTTCGTTAAATAATTCTTCATAGAAAATTCTTTGTTCCCTTATACGTAAATAGCCAGACAACAATTCATCTTCTTTTCTTTTAAGTTGCTCACAACGGAAACCCCGAAATGTGATTTTCTTTTGGTTGTGGCCGAGTACGGAGCTCTGGAAGTGCCATTCGACTTGTTGAGATCTTGACATTTTTTTCTCAATATGACATAAAGGAAAGACGTTAATATCCTGAGATAATTTATCATGGGATGATAA